CCGCACGCCGGCCGAGCTGGAGGCCATCCGGGCCGACCGCGACGCTCTGCACATGGAGGGCCTGATGATCCGCGAGCGCATCCTGGGCCCGGACAGCGCCGATGTATCGCACCCCATCATCTACCGCGGCGCCGTCTACGCTGACAACATGGAGTTTGAGCGCTGCATCCAGCTGTGGCTGCACGCGCTGCGCCTGCGCCAGCGCGGCCAGCGCAACACGCACAAGGACCTGCTGCGCTTCGCCCAAGTCTTCTCGCAGATGCTGCACCTGAAGGAGCGACTGAGCGCCGACGCGGTTTGTCTTCCGCCTCTCGCAAACAGTCGCATCATTTTTCACCCAGCAGCGCGTCGCATTCGTTCCCAGGCAACCGTTTCGCATCGTTCCAATTCCAAATGTTCACCTTGGCGACCATTTTCAACCATGGCAAAAAAAAAAACAAACCAAACAAAACACGATCACAATGACATTTCGTCATTGGCGCGTATTATTTCAACATTATTTTGTCCCCCTTCAAACTTCTTGGGCGCATTCCAGCGCTTCCGACTTCAAATTATTCGCAGTCCATTCCCAAATTCCGCAGATTTTTCAAATTGGAAATTTGCGTACGCATGAAGCTTCCGTTTCTCCATTTCTTGACCGATTCAAACCCTTCCGACGTGAAACGATTGGACTCTTGCCACATCGTATCATCTCAGTCCCGATGGTACTATATGATGCTGTTTCTTCAGAATTTCTCCAGAAATTGGATCGCCAATGGATGTCTTTTGTAGGTGGAGCAGGTGCTGGGCTGCAGCGCCCTGGAGATCAGCCGCAGCATGGCGCGCGCCCAGTCGGCGCCCGAGGGCGAGCTGGCTCAGGCGGCCGACAACTACGAGTCCAACGTCTTCACCTTCCTCTACCTGGCCTGCATCGCCACCAAGACGCCCTGCGGGGACGATCGGGAACGCGCCCGCATCAACAAGCACGTGTACGACGTGGTCCGGCTGGACCCGCGAGCCCGCGACGGCGCCACGCTCCTGCACCTGGCCATCAGCTCCAGCACACCCGTCGATGACTTTCACACCAACGATGTGTGCGGATTCCCCAACGCGCAGGTTCGGATGCGCCGATACGTCTGTGCGCAAATGGCACCGAGCCATCGGCTCATGTGTCCCCAAATCCAACTCATTTGTTGTTGCGTCCCCCATGCCCCCATTTCAGGTGACCAAGCTGCTGCTGGACTGCGGCGCCCGCGTGGACGCGGTGGACCACGAAGGCAACACGCCGCTGCACGTGATCGTGCAGTACAACCGTCCCATCAGCGACTTCCTGACCCTGCACGCCATCATCATCAGCCTGGTGGAGGCGGGCGCGCACACGGACCGCACCAACAAGCAGAAGAAGACGCCGCTGGACAAGAGCACCACCGGCGTGTCGGAGATCCTCCTCAAGACGCAGATGAAGATGAGCCTCAAGTGCCTGGCGGCGCGGGCCGTGCGACGCCACCGCATCACTTACCGCAACCAGATACCCGCAAGCCTCGAGGAGTTTGTCGAGTTCCACTGACGCCGGCTCGGCAAGTCTTATTTCAATATTTTTTGGGGGGGAGGAAGAACTCCTTACTCCGCCGCGCGCTATATACGGAATGAGTGAAGACGCATTCTTCCGAATCACTGCAGTTTTCGATGGCGGACGCTTCAGGGAACTGAAAAAGACGGCGTTACTCAGGCACCGTTCAGTACGTCATTGACGTCGCATATTTAACGCGCAGGATTGACGTCAGCTGGTGGACCTTTTTCCTATCAAATATTTTTGACCATGACCAAATTATTATCCCGATATATTGCTCTCAGGTCACATCCAAATATGTTGTGTAATTCTCCATCTCCATCCATATTTTTTAAATGTTCTCATCATGCCTCCAAATCAGCCCTTTCGTTTGAATTCTTTCACCCTTCAAATTTCAGTTTCTTTGCACAATGGCAAAGTTGGAAAACAGTTTTTGGGATATTTTCTCAGTTACGGCTGAACAACGCGGCCCAAATTTCATGATCTCAATATTTGTGCTCAATGTCGCCATCTATGAAATTCATACAAATGAATTATTTTGTAATCATAATAATAATAATAGTCAATGAGTAACACGGTGCTACTTCAAAAAAAAAAAAAAAAAACAGTTTTTTGGATATTTTTCTCAGTTACGGCTGAACAGCGCGGCCCAAATTATTTGATTTCAATATTCGTGCTCAATATCGCCATCTATGAAATTCATTCAAATGAATTATTTTTTAATCATAATAATAGTCAATGAGTAACACGGTGCTACTTAAAAAAAGAAAAAAAAAGATAATGTCAGCATTGGCGACGTAGTGCGAAACCAGGGCTCACCAACCTTTTGTGGAACTGAGCTACTTCAGACTGTACTCATTCATTCGAAGGGCTACACACTTAGCGATATTCTTCGATGTAAGGACATTGATCATGTCCATGATGATTTCTCACAATATTTTAGCAATTTTTAATTCAACAAAAGTGTCAAGATGCAACATTTTAATTTCTTTAAACATCTGCCAATTACTAGTGAGTTATTATTATTTTATTTCGAACAAGCCTGCAAGCCACTCATGTGATCCTTGGTGGGAGAGGTGGTGGGGGGTGGGGGGGGCACCATGTTGGTGACCGCTGTGCTCAATACGGTCACTGTATGCAGTTGTTTGTTCGTTGGCATTGTGCTACATGTGCACCTGCAGCGATGTTAACGTTGTTAGCGCAATGCTAAATGTCACGTTAGCTTTGTGGGGAAAACCAAACCGGGGTAATATGTGGTGGAAACGTGGCGCGGCTGTCGACACCGAAGTGTGCTCTGCTCCTCCAAGTCGCCATGTGACCTTCAGTTAAGTGATTGTTACCTTGGCAAGTGAATGTTAGCCGGCGGGCAAATGTAGCACCTGGCAAACATTATCGCATTGACTCCGCCCACAAGGACCTCATCTCACAAACTCGCAACCTTCGCTCAGCCGGAGGTGTGTGACCGAGCTTTTCTTTTGAATTTGACAAGCTGATTGTGTGACTTCATTTATTTTTTTTAAAAAAGTGTTAAGGCTCCGCCAACCAAGTGCCTCAAAACTGCTCGTCTTTGTGTAAATCCCATAACGAGGATGACGGAGAACATGATGGCGACGTCAATCATGACAACCAAAATGACAACAAAAACAACAGCGACGATACAAGAACGTTGACAACAACAGCTACAACACACTTTATTTACAAATGTTAAGACAGCAGTGATGAAAACGAAAGCAACGTTGACTGCGACACTGACAACAATTACATTGTTAGTCGAGGCAAAAACGACTGTGACAAGGACAATGAAAACAACCACAACGGCGATTAAAAACCACAGACGACGGCAAGATGATCAATGATTAAAACAGCCACCGCAACGACTACAATAGCGACATGTTTTATAGTATGAAAGAAAGATGATAACTCCAATGATGCAAACAACAGTGACGAGGACAGCAGAGACAGTCAACACAAAAACAACAGCGACGAGACCCACAAGGAAAATGTCAACTAAAAAAAAACGACAACAATGACAAAGAATGGCAATGACAATGTTTTATTATCAAAATGTAAAAGAATTCTAAAAACTCATTAAATGAGTGACTGATTTTTTTTTTTTCCATTCTGAAAATGTTCTTGATGTTTGTGGTTTTTCAGTTGAAATGTTGGAGGTTTCCGAGTTGCAGATTCACACAATCGAGCACGAAGCAGGTGCGGCTTCGGGGCTGCGTTACCAAAAGCCCACAATGCGAATTGCTGGAGGTCGCTCAGCTAAATTGACACCAGTCGCGAAAGCTAACATTTCGAAGTTGACCTCACTGCCAATTAACGTTGCAAAGTTGACACCAATATGAATTTGGACAAGCCACTTTTTTTTTTTTCCATCAAAGCTAATTCCTAAAGCTAACTTTGATTTAACATCGATGCTAATCTTGAAAGCTAATTTGGCCAAGATGATCTCAACGCTGATTAGTTTTCTTTGCTCGGTTAGCATTAGTTTTAATTGTGAAAGTTACATTTTGTACCGTACAAAATTTAACTTTCGCTAACTTTGGTAACTTTCACTGCTAATTTGTTAGCCCCTTCATTTAGATTCTTGCTAATTGCTAAAGCGCAAAATCGGTGGCCAATATGGCCGCACCTCTCCTCAGCCATCAGGGGCCCGTGGTCAGAGCTCCCGGCCGCCATTTTTATGGAAGTAACTATAAGGGGCGTGGCCAGGATGGGGTGTGCTCAGGTGTCCTCCCCGAGCGCCGCCCCATCTACCCAAAGAATGTAGTCATCGTCACGCGCCGCCGCCATCGTCACAGCCCCTCTGCTGGCTTCCCATTGGTTGCTGGCTCCTTCTGTTCCTGACGCCGCCTCTTCCTGGAGAAGAAGCCCAACTGCGCGCACACACACACACACACACACACACACACACACACATTAGATGTGTGTGCATGTGAGAGCGAGTGCGTGTGTAAACGCCTACGCACCCTCCAGAGCGCGAGCACGATGACGGCCAGCGCGAGGAATCCCCCGGCCGAACTTCCCAAGATGACGGCCACCAAGACGGCGCCCGACGCCCGCGCCTTCATCAGCTCCACCGCCGTCTGCGCACGACCGCACGCCCAAACACACTCACATTAGCGGCGTGAAGCAGGGAAAGCACGGACACACGTCATCATGGGACGACCGGCGCTGGGGTTGTGCCCATTGTTCTCGTCCCACTGTTCGACGGTATTTTTCTCAAATCGCTTTTTGTTTTTCTTAACTACGTTCTGAGTCGCACCTGTCGGACTGGATGCTCCTCCCGCAGGAAGAAGGAACCGGAGGAGTCCAAATGGACGTGTGCACTGACTAAAACTTTAAGAGTTTTGAAGACCACCTGAAAAACATGCACATTTTCTTTTGGGATTTTTTTTTTTTTTTTTTTTTTTTGGATCCATTTGCTGAAAACCGCTGGAGCGGGCTGACCTTCTGCAGGACCGGTCGCTGGAGTTTTCCTCTGAGAGTCAACTTCACCTGCCTGGAGGCGGGAAGAAGCACACTGCAGCTCGCAGACATGCTTGCACTGTTACTCTGATTCTGCGTATACACACACACACACACACACACACACACACACACACACACACACACGCGTTATTTTGATTCTGGATGCAGATGCATTCTTTACCGTAGTTCTGTTCAAACATACACATTTACTGTGATTTTGTGCTCATGCACAATCTCACACACACACACACACGTGTAGACCAACCATTTGCGTCAGGTGCGTCAGGTCCTCTGCTCTGGCGTGATACGGCATAACAGGCTGCATTAAGACGCAGGAGACGGCTGGCTGCGAAGATGGGGGTGGGGTT